TAAAGCCAATCGACAGCTGGTCAAGAGGAATCCGCCGTCGTCTGATAGTGGGATCGACCTTCTAATGGCTACACCAAACACTTTTGCTCGAAATGGAAGTAAGCTCAACAATTAACTTCCGGTTTACCTCCCAGGTAAAGGCCAGACTGTGGGAAATATCTCCTCTCTTGTACGTATTCTTTGCATCCCATCCCAGGCCACCTATAGATGTTTACTCTAAAAATAATTTGAAAGACCAATTAAAACAAGATTCACCTCCTCATGTTAGATTCCCTCAGCAAGCAAATTTTGCCAAGGCTATCCAGAAACTGAGTAACCGGGCCGCTCTTCCTAGTCGCGTGAGAACAGGTCAGAAGGAATGGATGTGCTGACCAGATTGCATGCACCCAATTAAGATGGCCCAATGTGGCAAACATGGTTGAGCACGCAAATACATGTTAAAGGGACCATTTAAAATATCCCAAAAGGAATAAACAAATTCTAGTTTAATAGATGCTTCGAGCTGATAGATATTCAGAAGACTTATTTCGTTTCTTCTTGGGAGGTGCAACTATCGGACGGTGAAGCAGTGAAGTGGCCTCGATTTGCGTATCGTAACTCCATTTCATTTCGGGTTGAGTGTCAGGTGCATGCAGGTTCATATGCATTTTTTATATAATATAGCAAGAACTGTTAGCTACTCCCAGTTTTGCCACATACGATAAGCACGGCTTACATGACCAAACAGACTCACATTTTTGCGGATAGATCGACACATTACTGAAATTTTGCTAGTAGTCAGTTTGTCTCAGGTAGCGGACATCAAAATAATGTTGGTGTGCCACAGTGAGTAATTTGCTAACCTTGGAATCTACAAATTCCCGGTTATAATTAGGACAGAGGTGCCAATGAGACATATTAGAACTATGGTGCAGAAATCACTCTTTCCTTGCAAACCAGTGCGACTCACCATATACGAAAATGGTACATTTTGGCGCTTCCAATCGCCGCTTTTATAGGTAATGTAGTAGATTGCTATAG